CAGAGCAGAGCAGAGCAGAGCAGAGCAGAGCAGAGCAGAGCAGAGCAGAGCAGAGCAGAGCAGAGCAGAGCAGAGCAGAGCAGAGCAGAGCAGAGCAGAGCAGAGCAGAGCAGAGCAGAGCAGAGCAGAGCAGAGCAAGGCAGATGTTGCTGACGGATCTTCCTCTGCAGCATCAGGGAGACTCTCGTGCACGAGCTGACCCACATGGTTCACTCTGAGCACGACGACAAGTTCTGGTCGCTCTTCCGAGTCCTCATGGAGGAGTCCAAGGAGCTCGACTGGACTCAGGGGAAGTGAGTAGCAGCTGTCATGCTCGTCCCCTCCTCTGATCTTGCCAGCAGCGGACAGCAGGTCGGTGGCCCGGCCCGGCCAGAGGATGCAGCAGGTGCTGCGCAACCCGAAGTAGGACGGCGACTAGGAGGAGGAGCAGGAGGAGAGGAGGAGAGGCAGGTGCGAGGGTCGGTGGTGAGTCACCCGCTAGGTCTTGTTGTCTCCCTCACGCTGCCTCAGGCTCACGTCCCTGCTCGAGCCCTGGCCGCCGCAGCTGCTAGCGAGAGGATGCAGGACTCGAGGCCCTCGGAGCCTCAGCAGCCCAGCATGCTGGGGCTGACGCTCACAGACAAGGACGAGACTCGAGAGCCAGAGACTGCCACCGAGCCGGCGCCAGAGGGGCAGAGGATGCAAGAGTCCGCAGGAGACGAGCTGGGGGAGAGCTCGAGAGGAGATGAGGAGATGGGAGAGGCCCCGGACCCCCTGGAGGAGCTACAGATGATGGGGTTCTCAGCCGAACAAGCCCAGCAGCCCTCAGCAAGTTCCACGGGAGCCTCGTACGAGCTGCCGACTGGCTGCTCGCCGGCAGCTGGGACGAGGGGGCGGCGGATGATGCCCGACAACAAGCATCCGGAGTTGGAGCCCAGCTGCCAGCGGAGGGTCCAGATGAATTTCAGGAATTGCGGGAACGCGTTGGGAATACTGTGCAGAGGTACTAGCACCTCCCCTCGCTCCCTCCCCTCCTCCGCATGTTCCATCTCCCTCCTCGTTCTGTTCTGAGCTCCTCCCCTGCTCTGCCGAGGACGAGGCTACTCAAGTAACCCATTCCCAGGTTCGTCTCGAGCTTGGAGGCTCGACCGGAGGCAGCTCGAGTGGCGCTAGAGACTGTGCTGGGGATTTTCAGACGCATCACCGACTCCCCTAGCGAGCAGAAGTTCCGCAAGATTCGTATCAGCAATCAAACGTTCCAGCACAAGGTCGCCAGCCATGCTGGCGGTAGAGAGCTCCTGCTCTCTGCCAACTTCCGCTACTCCGGAGAGGATTCCCTGGAGTATCAGCACGAAGACATAGTTCCCCTCCTCGTCGCCTCCTCGGTACCTCCGACCCTTTCATCCTCCTTAACTCATCCTCCTTAACTCTGACACTAGGACTGTATCAGGTACTCGAAGTCGCCCTGCAGTTCCTCCCATGACGATATCGTGCTGCTCGACAACTTTGAAACTAGAACTTGAACTGGATCTAATAAACCACAAACAGTGTTGCATCTAACTTAAACTCTTGGTCCCCCCGCCCGACTACCATCTCACATTCCCATCCAACCTCTTCGGATCTTGCTCGCTGGCACCAACACGTCACTCATCGCAGCCTGTGCCCCCACCGTCAGGTCGTCCACCCCTGCGAGAACATCAGGACACAACCAAGACAGTCAAACAGCCAGAATGAGGCGAGAGAGCGAGAACAGGAGAGAGAAAGTCAGAGCAAGAGAGTGACACTGAGAGAGGAGTTGAGGAGGAGGAGAATGATGACGAGACGACGACGACGGGTTGGGAGCACGAGGAAGAGCAGGAGGCGTCCGACCTTTGAACACCTTGCGTGCGTCCATAGCTGAGGCCAGGTGCAACTTAGCATGGAGATTCACCGCCCTGGAGCAGAGTGACCAACAGGAACAATGAGCCTCGACCGTTCTCACCTCTTGACCACCTTGACAGGACGGGGTTCAGCATGAAGCTGCGACATGCGGGCTGCCCGCATGCTCGCCTTCCTCTGAGTGTCTCGCAGGAGAGCGCGAGAGGAAAGATCAAGGGGGGCGCTGGGGTTTTCTGCCATCTCCAGCGCCAGCGCCTCCTTGCTGCTCGCCTTCACCTTCCTGTGCACGGAGGAGACGCCATGGCGGAGCGGAGCGCTGGGTCGCTCGGCGAGCTGCAGGGCGACGCCCTCGGACTTGTCGCTCGCTGGCCATCCCATCAGGTTCGGGTGATCGTCGTCGTTGGCGATGTCGTTAAGCTCCTTGATCTGACTGAGCTGAACGTCCGGAACCTGCCACCACCAACGAGCTTCAGCGTCATCAACAGCTGGCACGTGCAGGACAGACCTGCATGGCGGGCATCCGGGTAGAGTCCCCGGTCAAGCTGCGGGCGATGGACAGCAGCCTGTTGACTTCCCACTTGAGTTTGTCGTGCTTGTTGGGCGGAGCGATAGCATCAGCCTCCTGGGGCATCGGGGCTGCCATGGCTGGCCGGCTCTCAGCTCGAGCACGTGCAGTCACCCCTCTAGCGATTCTGTTCCTCTCCCCACTAGTCTCCAGACCCTCGGCAAGCCTGAGGGCCTCCGACTCGTCCAGCTGCAGAACAAGGGAAGTCAGAAGAGTAGAGCACGGAACGCATTCAGAGCTCACAGCAATCTTGCGACCTCCGTGCTGATGCAGGGAAACCACCACCATGACCAGAGCGACAGCGATGACCAACCCGACTGACATGTACACGTCCCTGAGGAACACCATCAGCTGATGATCACTCGCGCCTGAGCAGAGCGGCATCTGTATATCAAATGTCTCGACCATCCACCCATCATCATCATCCCTCTTCCACCCTCATCATCATCTTCCATCATCACTACGTTCGCCATCATCTCCAATATCACCGCCAACAGGATCAATTTCACCATTTTCATGCTAATTCATTATTGCTCATTCACATACACCGCGCCTCCTACAACAACCGTTCGCAGTCAATCCTTGACCTCCGCGTTCTGCTTCCACTTCGACTCTCTTCCCCTTCATACTTATCTCTTCATCTCTCATCGCACTGGTGGGTTCATCCTCCCGACTGTCCCCTCCCACCCACCCCCGACCTCCTCTTCCTCCTCTTCCTCTTCCTCACCGCCGACGCCGCATGTCCGCCATAGTCGCGCCTCTTCGCTGGAGAACCCACATCTCCACTCTGACCGGGCCAACTATCGCCGGGCCGGGCCGGTGGCGGGCCACCGCCGGTCGGACGCTCAGGGCCTAGTCGCTCAGTCAATGACACAGACTCTAAGTTCAGGGATTCAGTGGTGTCCTTCTTTACTCAAAGTTAAGTTAAAAATCAGTATGAGCAGAAGGCTTCGGAAAATCAGGCCCGGAGAGCCCCACCCTGTCCAACGTCTCACAGGCTCAGATGCCCGGGAACTTCCGAATGACACTTACTATTTGACTTGTAATGATCAACTTGAACAAGTATAGGAGACTAATGATGAACTTAACTTTGAGTAAAGGGGCCCGGGCCGGGCCACTTGCGGGCCCGGGAACCATCGCACCGGGCCAGAAGTCTCAGGCTCCTCTACTTCTTGAATGAAAGAAAAAGTCAAACCTGCTGTTCAACGGTTTGACCAATCTCTCACATGCTGCCATGGCTGCTGACTGAGAGCTGCCGAGAGCAGGCGAAGATCGGGAGGAGGAGGAGGAGGAGGAAGAGAAGAAGAAGCCTAAGGAGGAGGAGGAGAGAGAGGGCGGAGGCGAATCCGAGCCAGAGGAGGGAGCAGCAGGGACTGCCGATGCCCACAAATGCTTTACGGCGCTGACACAGCGGCTGGTTCTCAGATGTCACAGTCAGCCCTCCGACTCGGGACTGCCCTGAAGCTGGTTGGAACAAGGTCATCGAAACCACAATTCCTCTCCCTCTCCCTCTCCCTCTCCCTCTCCCTCTCCCTCTCCCTCTCCCTCTCCCTCTCCCTCTCCCTCTCCCTCTCCCTCTCCCTCTCCTCTCCTCCGGAGTCCTTTGATCCTGCTCCTCCTCCTCCGTCGCTGATAGCGATCACAGATGGAAAGTTCGGACGCTCTTCATCGACGAGGAGAAAGGTGATGCGAGGTGCGAAGTCCGTGGTTCTTCCTCTGACAAAAAGTCTCCGCCTTCAGGGCTGTTGTGGTGGCAGTCAGCGACGTCGTCGAGTTCAAGACAACGGGGATCGATCCGAATGAGCGACATAGCTGATGTCTCAAACATCCCCGACAGGACCTTCGTCTCGTTCGAAGTCATCACTGCTCAAGGAGCCAACCACGTCTTCAGGATGATGGAGGGTGGGGAGGATGGTGCTGAGAGGAGGAAGGAGATGATACGTGCTGTCAGATCACAAGATGGAAAATGGCGACGTCGACTTTGGCAGCTGGCCTTCAGTCATCCGGCAAGCGATCAAGAGGTTCAAGGCCTTTGACGTGGATGGAGAAGCGATAGCGGAGAAGAAGAACAAGGGAGGGCAGGTTGACCCCCTGCGTTGGAGACGCACTTGTTGAACTTTCGTTGGAATTTTGTTGTGTCTTAGA